TGTTGTTTCTCATAACTGTTTCTTTTTCTTTTATCAGGTAAAATGTCTTTCTCTTCTCTCTTTTAACAGCCGAAAACAGGAGAATGAAAAAGTAACTTCACAATAAGGCCCCTCCTATACTAAATGCTAGTAATATTTAGAGGGCAGCATACGATATAAACTCTGACAATCTGTATAATTTGACAATATTTATTTCACATTTAAATGAAAATCATTTTTTGCCATCATTCTTCATCGACTCGGCAACGTTATGCGTTATATTTTTGCGGACATAAAGGTTTATAAAATGGAGTTATATCATGTATGTGTCACCACGTCAAGTAGAATACAGACCTTGAAAAAGTATGCCGACTTGTTTTAAACCTTCGCAACTTTTTCTAAATATCTAAATAGAGCCCACCAAATTTGTGTCCTTTATGAATCATGCACCTGAGACCTTCAGGATCTTGCTTTATAAATATACAAGTATACGACCACAACTTCATCAATTCTTACATCTTCTGTTATCAAAAACAGCAAGTCCTACATTTTCTATTTTTTGGAAAAAAACACGACAAATGACTTTAGCAGTTCATTCTTCAACTTCTTTTATCAATATAACAGAAACCAAAGGTATTAAAACACCTGATGATTTCTTAGGCACGGTTTCGTTTCCGCAAACAAAGCCATCTTGTCGTCTCATAACAAAGAGTTCCATGCAAGAAGCTCACCACTCTCATGAGAGAGTTATCGGTAATCCCATAGAAGGGAGGAAAAATGAGAAAAGAGAAAAACTTCATGTGCTAACAACTACTCACAGCAATAACAGTACAGCAGTACCTGTTTTTGTGATGCTGCCACTTGATACCGTAACCATGGGAGGGAAATTGAACAAGCCACGACTGATGAACGCAAGTTTGATGGCCTTGCGAAGTGCTGGAGTTGAAGGTGTAATGGTGGATGCTTGGTGGGGTTTGGTGGAGAAAGATGGACCCTTTAAGTATAACTGGGAAGGTTATGCTGAGCTTGTCAAGATGTGTAGAGAACATGGCTTGAAACTTCAAGTCGTCATGTCTTTTCATCAGTGTGGTGGAAATGTTGGAGACTCTTGCAGGTACTGTTAAAATGCAGTTTATGTTTCCATTAGGCTTTATCACAATCTATATTCTGCTCTATTTCCATTAGTAGGCTCTAATAAGCTACTAGTATTATAGGGATAGTAAATCTTAAAGCCCAATAGTCTAGCAATCTGTACTAATACACCATTATTTGCATAGATGCATGAAATATCTAGTTAGGTTCTGATAAACTAGGAAGTTTACCTTTTCTGTTCTCATATTCCCAAATCATATCACCAGAAAGGCAATTCCTATAGAATCTCAGCTTTCGCCAAGCTTTAAGTCATATTAGTATTTGTTTTGAAATGGTTAGCAGAATTATAATCTTTGGAAAAAGACATATTTGGCTGCAATCTAAAGTAATAGTAGTTCATAGAAAAGGCATTATTTCAAGTGTAACTGGAATTTCACTATTCAGACTCACAGTTCTAGAAGAAATCAAACTGACACTAAAACTTGTAATGGATTTTGCAGTATTCCTCTACCTCCGTGGGTACTTGAAGCTATCGCGAAGAATCCAGATCTTGTCTACACAGATAGATCAGGCAGGAGAAATCCTGAGTATATTTCCTTAGGTTGTGATATGTTACCAGTACTCAAAGGAAGGACACCCATTCAGGTATACACTGACTATATGAGGAGCTTCAGACAAAGATTCAACGATTACTTGGGAGATGTCATAGTGGTAAGACTACTGCTATACAATCACAAAACCAATACTATTACTTCAATAGGATACTTCCTCCAAACCTACCAAACTCTAAAAGCAACAGTCACCGAAAAGAACAAGCACAATCTTTAGAAAAATAAACACACACAGTACACACAAAATAATCTCTCTGTCTTTAGAGGAGTAATATGAGCTAAGTTGGAAAGTGAAGCTGCTAATTGTCAAAAAAAAAGTATTTAAACATAAAACCACTACAGGTCATATTGTCGTAGTTTCATTAGGATAGGATTAAATAATTTATCCTAATCCGGGAGAAATATAGGCTGAAGGCTAATTTGAAGTAAATTAAAAAAAATCAAATCAGGCTATTTATCCAAAAGAGAGAACGGCAGCTAAGAAAATAAGTGAATAAGCAAAATCGAATCAGTTACTTTATGTAATCTCATCTGGTCGACTAATTTGTTGGTTAGCCATCTAAAAGGTGGACCAGTAAAGTATATAGTATCATCCAAATGAAACAGGGTACCTCTTAATATACTCCTATTACCGGCTAGCTTATGCGCACCTCGACTAATTCCACGGGATACCTACTACCTCCACCAGCAAATGGTACCAGGCAACTCCCTCCTCCAAGATGGAAAGAGATCACCTAGTGTTTTTTTCAAATCCGCTAGGATTTGCACCTAAAACCTCATGGTTCTCAACCCACTTCATTGACCACTAGGCCACACCCTTCGGTGCTATACTCCTATATATATTCCAAGCAAAAATGGTAGGAATACTTGAAATTGACATCCTGTTTTCTTCTACAGGAGATTCAAGTGGGATTGGGTCCGTGTGGGGAGCTAAGATATCCATCCTATCCAGAAAGCAATGGTACATGGAGATTTCCTGGAATTGGAGAATTCCAGAACTATGACAAGGTAACTTTTAGCATCTATTGTTAGAGATATTAATAAAATCGTTTTTCCTTACATAAGTAAATCTCAGGAAAAAAAAAAGGACCTTCAGAAGCTGGAGAAAATAAACTAACTTCTTTTTTGTCAACACAGTACATGAGAGCTTCACTGGCAGCATCTGCCAAGGCGGCGGGAAAGGATGATTGGGGCCAGGGAGGGCCTCATGACTCAGGACAGTACAACCAATTTCCTGAGGATACTGGATTTTTCCAGAATGATGGAACATGGAACAGTGAATATGGAAAATTCTTCCTAGAGTGGTATTCAGGAAAGCTACTGGAGCATGGCGACAGGATCCTAGGAGCAGCAGAAAGTATATACCAAGGAACTGGGGCTAAACTATCTGGAAAAGTAGCTGGAATTCATTGGCATTACAATACTAGATCACATGCTGCAGAGTTAACAGCAGGATACTACAATACGAGAGAGACAAATGGCTATCTACCTATCGCACGTATGTTCGGGAAACATCGTGTTGTATTTAACTTTACATGTATGGAAATGAGGGATGGTGAACAGCCCCAGAGTGCAAATTGCTCACCAGAAGGCTTAGTTCGACAAGTAAAAAATGCAACTAGAACTTCTGAAGTAGAACTTGCTGGAGAAAATGCTCTAGAGAGGTATGATGGAGCAGCATATTCTCAAGTTTTGGCAACAAGCAGGTCAGATTCTGGAAATGCATTGAGCGCATTTACATTCCTGAGAATGAACAAACGGTTGTTTGAGCCAGAAAATTGGCAGAATTTAGGGCAATTCGTGAAAAGCATGTCAGAAGGAGGCCGAAATGCTAGACGTCCAGAGTGTGACTCAAGCAGGGCAGACCTCTATGTAGGATTTATCAAAAAGACTCATTCTATGAAAGCTAAAGAGATAGCACTAGTGTAAAGATATGCATATGTATAGAGGTAATATGGTCATCCCATTGTAGGTTAGCAGAGAACAGTGGCAAAAAGTATTAAAGTGCCATTACTCATAGCAGCTAAAAGAGTCCACAAGAATTTGGAGCCTGTGTCTAAACTAAACTATAGACGACAAGAAAAAGAAGCTTTGTATGTCAATCTTTCCCATTCTATTTGTGAAGCTCCGGGGCATTGGGATGACGAGACAGTATCATACAAGGATTTGAATGAGCATATTCATTTCTTTGTACAAATCAATATTTTTCTGCCTTCCACGTTCATTATTGTAATAAAGGAGCTAATAATATTGCTTCCTATACATGCATTTTCCCTTTAATATTTCTGCTTTCTTCCTTCGAGTTATCAATTATCAATGAGCAAATACTTGAGTGTCTGAAAAACATATCACTAGTCCAACGAACATTTTAAGTAGAGAAGATCACCACTACCCCAATCCATTGCAGATAATCATTAAAGAACAATCCACGCTGGCATATGTCTGCCTTCTTTTTCAAGTGATTAGCTTCACTTATTATGGACAATTATTTTAGACTACTAGTATGTAGAAGTTAGATTCTATTTTCAATCAGAATAAGACTGTTATTTCTCATAACGTCTCTTTTTCTTTTATCAGGTAAAATGTCTCTCTCTTATCTCTTTTAACAGCTGAAAGCAGAAGAATGAAAAGTAATTTCACAATAAGTCCCCTCCTATATTAAATGCTAGTAATATTTAGAGGACAGCATATGATATAAACTCAGACTATCTGTATAATTAGACAATATTTTATTTCATATTTATTTCACATTTAAAGGAAAATCATTTTTTGCCATCATTCCCCAATGACGTCGGCAACGTTATATGTTATATTATTGAGGACATAAAGGTTTATAAAATGGAGTTATATCATATATGTGTCACCACGTCAAGTAGAAGACAGACCTTAAAAAAGTATGCCGACTTGTTTTAATCCTTTGTACTGAATATCTAAATAGAACAACAACAACAACATACCCAGTAAAATCCCACTAGTGGAGTCTGGGGAGAGTAGAGTGTACGCAGACCTTACCCCTACCCCGAAAAGGGTAGGGAGGCTGTTTCCGGCAGACTCTCGGCTCAACAGGATGAATATCTAAATAGAGCCCACCAAATTTGTCTCCTTCATGAATCATGCACCTGAAACCTTCAGGATCTTGCTTTACAAATATACAACCACAACTTCATCAATTCCTACATCTTCTATCATCAAAAAAAGTAATTCCTACATTTTCTATTTTTTTTTAAAGACACAACAAGTGACTTTAACAGTTCATTCTTCAACTTCTTTTATCATTACTAGTTTCTCGGCACGTGCGTTGCATGTGTATGTCGAGTCATGTCGTAAATTTAATAATTAAACATGAAAAATAAAGTATGAGTTTCTGTGAATGCTCACATGATGACTTGTTGATGTCAAGATGATTGGATATCCTTTGAAGTACCAAGATGAACAATCAAAATTTAATTTGATAATTGTGTTTTTTGCTATTTCAACTTTATGAGGTACAACCACGCAATAAAGTGAAGATTTTTTAATTTTAAAATTAGGGACAAAAACATTCTAAAATTATTTTTCCTGATGTGGTATATCCTGTATAGTTTTGCTCTTAATTTTAGATAACGTAATTAGGAGTACATGAGAGTTACACTCTCACCAACATGTACAGTAGGACCTTATGGCTATGATTTTTGTGAAGACTCTTATAGCCTGCCTATTTGGCCAACCTTATGGCTCTATTTCCATTAGGCTCTAATAAGCTGCTAGTATAGTAGAGAAAGTAAATATTAAACCCCAATAATCTAGCAATCTGTACAAATACACCATTATTACACAGATTCAGGAAATGTCTATTTAGGTTCTGATGAACTAGGAAGTTTACCTTTTCTGTTCTCATATTCCCAAATCACAACACCAGAAAGGCAATTCCGATCATCTTAATAGTGTTTTCCAAAGCTTTTTAAAGGAAATAGACAACTATTATTTTTTTCTCAAAAAATCCAATACTCCTATAGAATCTCAGCTTTCGCCAAGTTTTAAGTCATATTTTTTGTTTTGAAATGGTTAACAGGATTATAATCTTTGAAAAAAGATATATTCTGCTGAATAGTTCATAGAAAAGGGAGTATTTCAAGTGTAACAGGAATTTCTTGTCAGTTGTCACTATTCAGACTCGCGGTTCTAGAAGAAATCAAACTGCCGCTAAAACTTGTAATGGATTTTGCAGTATTCCTCTACCTCCATGGGTACTTGAAGATATCGGGAAGAACCCAGATCTTGTCTACACAGATAGATCAGGCAGGAGAAATCCAGAGTATATTTCCTTAGGTTGTGATATGTTACCAGAACTCAAAGGAAGGACACCCATTCAGGTATACACTGACTATATGAGGAGCTTCGGACAAAGATTCAGCGATTACTTGGGAGATGTCATAGTGGTAAGCCTTCTGCTATACATAACCAATATTATTACTTCAATAGGAACCAATATTCTTACTTCAATAGGATACTTCCTACTAACCTACCAAACTCTAAAGCAACAGTAACTCAAAAGCACAAGCACAAGCTTTAGAAAAATAAACACACACAGCATGCACAGAATCATCTCTCTTTCTTTAGAGGAGGAATATGAGCTAAGTTGGAAAGTGAAGCTGCTAATTGTTAAAAAAAATGTTTTAAACATAAAACCACTGCAGATCATACTGTCACAGTTTCATTAGGATAGGATTAAATAATTTATCCTAATCCGGTAGAAATATAGGCTGAAGGCTAATTTGAAGTAACCTAAACAAAAACAAATCAGGTTATTTATCCAAAAGAGAGAAGGACGGCTAAGAAAATAAGTGAATAAGCACAACCGAATAAGTTACTTTATGTAATCTCATGTGGTCGACTAATTTGTTGGATAGCTATCTAAAAGATGGACCAGTAAAGTAAGTATCATCCAAATGAAACAGGTTACCTCTTATATACTTCTATTATTTATTTTTTTATAACCGTAGTGTTCGGGCCAGCTTATACGCACCTCGACTGACTCCACGGGATACCTGCTACTTCCACCAGCAAAAGGTACCAAGTAATTCCGGCCACCAGGCTGGGCACCAAGGCTTGAACAAATGGGAAGAAATCACCTAGTGTTTTTATCTAAGCAAGGATTTGAACCTGAGACCTCATGGTTCTCAACCCACTTCATTGACCACTAGGCCACACCCTTGGGTGCTATACTCCAATATTTTCCAAGCTAAAATGGCAAGAAAACTTGAAATTGATATTCCTTTTTCTTCTACAGGAGATTCAAGTGGGATTGGGTCCATGTGGGGAGCTAAGATATCCATCCTATCCAGAAAGCAATGGTACTTGGAGATTTCCTGGAATTGGAGAATTCCAGAACTATGACAAGGTAACTTTTTGCATCTATTGTCAGAGATATTAATAAAATCGTTTTTCCTTACATAAGTAAATCTCAGGAAAAAAAAAAAGGACCTTCATAAGCTGGAAAAAAATAAACTAACTTCTTTTTTGTCAACACGGTACATGAGAGCTTCACTGTCAGCATCTGCCAAGGCGGCGGGAAAGGATGACTGGGGCCAGGGAGGGCCTCATGACTCGGGACATTACAACCGATTTCCTGAGGATACTGGATTTTTCCAAAATGATGGAACATGGAACAGTGAATATGGAAAATTCTTCCTAGATAGGTATTCAGGAAAGCTACTGGAGCATGGCGACAGGATCCTAGGAGCAGCAGAAAGTATATACCAAGGAACTGGGGCTAAACTATCGGGAAAGGTAGCTGGGATTCATTGGCATTACAATACTAGATCACATGCTGCAGAGTTAACAGCAGGATACTACAATACGAGAGACACAAATGGCTATCTACCTATCGCACGTATGATTGGGAAACATCGTGTTGTATTTAACTTTACATGTATGGAAATGAGGGATGGTGAACAGCCCCAGAGTGCAAATTGCTCACCAGAAGGCTTAGTTCGGCAAGTAAAAAATGCAACTAGAACTTCTGAAGTAGAACTTGCGGGAGAAAATGCTCTAGAGAGGTATGATGGAGCAGCATATTCTCAAGTTTTGGCAACAAGCAGGTCAGATTCTGGAAATGCATTGAGCGTATTTACATTCCTGAGAATGAACAAACGGTTGTTTGAGCAAGAAAATTGGCAGAATTTAGGGCAGTTCGTGAAAAGCATGTTAGAAGGAGGCCGAAATGCTAGACGTCCAGAGTGTGACTCAAGCAGGGCAGACCTCTATGTAGGATTTATCAAAAAGACTCATTCTATGAAAGCTAAAGAGATAGCACTAGTGTAAAGATATGCATATGTATAGAGGTAATATGGTCATCCCATTGTAGGTTAGCAGAGAACAGTGGCAAAAAGTATTAAAGTGCCATTACTCATAGCACCTAAAAGAGTCCACAAGAATTTGGAGCCTGTGTCTGAAACTAAACTATAGGCGACAAGAAAAAGAAGCTTTGTATGTCAATCTTTCCCATTCTGATTCAGAGGTTGTGAAGCTCCGGGGCATTGGGATGATGAGACAGTATCATACAAGGATTTGAATGACCATATTCATTTCTTTGTACAAATCAATATTTTTCTGCCTTCGACGTTCATTATTGTAATAAAGGATCTGATAATATTGCTTCCTATAGATGCATTTTCCCTTTAATATTCCTGCTTTCTTCCTTCGAGGTATCAATTATCAATGAGCAAATTACTTGAGTGCCTGATAAACATATCATTAGTTCAATGAACATTTCAAGTAGAGAAGATCACCACTACCCCAATCCTTTGCAGATAACCATTTAACAGAACAATCCATGCTGAAAGATTACAAACATATCAGCAATATGGTGATAAGTCAGGCTTTAGAGCCTCCGCAGAATTACTTTTGACCTCTTAGCAATATCTGTTTAGCCATGTTTAAGAATATTTGACAAGATTATTGAATAAAGTTCACCCATTAAAGATATTTGTCAACACATATGTTGTCTTCTCAGCCATTAAGAAAATTAAAGATCTTCGGAGTTTTATAACAAAGGAAAAGAAAATTTTATAACAAAGGGAAAGGAAAAGAAACAGGTACTGTACAAAAAAAAACCACAACTGGCAGCAATATCGACTTTTTATACATGGTCTACAGCCTATGGTACTTCATAGATATATTCCGTGGTTTCTATGGCAATTACTAAGAAATTAACCTAAAGCATAATAATACAGGAATATTGTGGCAGATGCTCTTAGATCTTCTTCTGATTGTTTGCCTATCATGACTTTTCCTCCCACAGAAGAGATTTATGGACTGCGGACTGCCATTTGCCACACTTCTTAACTAAAGCTAGATTTAATAGCCCACCCACCCCCTACCCCTCAAAAAAAAACACCATTACCTTCCCCAAAAATCTACAGAACTAGAATGTGACTTGATACTACTTTTAACATGGAACTTCCCAGATAAAGAGCTGCCACTGCAGAACTTTCCATAGTTGGATGGAGTGGCCAAAATAAGCTAGTAGTCAACAATTGACATCTGATATCCAGCACAATTTCACTACTTCCTTCTCAATGAATAACATGATTATACAGACTTCTATCTCAATAGTAAAGGCAATTTAGTTATCATGAACAAAGAAGTTAAATTTCCAGCAGAAGAACGAAAAAAACATGATATCTAAGTTGTTGTCATGATCTCAAAGGGCTTTCTACCAAGGTCCAGGTACCTTCAGTTGTCTCAGCTTCAAGAAGAAATGAGGCACTCGTTTTCATCCATCATCCAAACTCGTGTCATCTTACTTTTCTTTAGCACCTGCAAACTGAAGACTAAGATTAGACAAGGATTGTTTTAATGAAGATAGCAAGATTAGTTCTGGCGGTGAAATTTGAATTATTTTAGTCAGTTGCAACTATAACTTTGAGGGTTCTTCATAGTTCATACCACTCTTAAACCCTTGACCAAATGTGTGGCAATAGACAATCTGCATATCAGTTTTCCTCTTAAAAAGTTTCATGTCTACAGGTGTTATTGAGCAACGTGATCTAAACGGAACTAAACTTAAGCCTAGTTCAATAAATATTACATGAAGGTCAATGAAAACAGCTTCAAGCCAGAAAGCCTTGCAGTGAGACCTAAAATTTGCTAATTTACCTAATGTGAATATCTAGAACTAACTCTACAGCTCTATTTTCGCGATTCCTCAGCCACTTCCACTAAAATTTCTAGGAAGCAATACTTTTCCAAACTTGTCTGGGTAATAACTAACCAAATAGTTTTTTCACTTCGGTAACTAAAGATATCACAATCAATATCTTTCCTTTTTCTTAAATGAATGTCTTAGGTATTCCATGCTAAAAATGAAGATATACTTTTTAAGTTAAGACCTATGTCAAAAACCTGATCATAAATAGAGCTAATAAACCTAAGACAAGAAAATAAAATAGAAAAAAGATTGCCCATCTCGCAATCTTTTGTTAGGGGTGGGCATATATCGGGTAAAACCGATAACCCGAACCGTTAATTATTTATTGGGTTATCGGTATTGGGTTATTGGGTTAACAGTTCGGTAACGGGTTAAAATATTTTTTTTATTGGGTTATTGGTTCGGGCTCGGTTTGGCAATTCTGTTATTGGGTAAAACCGATAACCCAATAAGGATTAACTAATTTACTAGTTTACCCTTAAGTATATACATACTAGGGTTTCATAATTCATAGTTCACTCTTTGATTTTCCTATTCTTTCCCAGTTTCTCCGCCTCACTCCCTCATCAGTCAGTCCGTCAAGACTCGGGCCGGTGTCAGTCGCATCACGCCCTCACCAGTCAGCCCGTCAAGACTCAGGCCGGCATCAATCGAATTTCTCAGCTTCTTTCCTTCACTCTTCAGTCGCATCTTCACTTCATTTCTCAGATCCATCTGATTCTTCAGTCGCATCTTCACTTCACTCTTCAGTCGCATTAGTACTATGTTTGGACTTTGGACTTGTTAATCTTAAGGTTGCTACTACTTTGTATTGTTATTAATGTGTTTGAACTATTACTTTGGACTGTTTGTAGTGTTGAACTTTAGTTGAAGTGTTGAACTCTGTTCTATTGTTGCAGATTTAGTTCTATTGTTCTATTGTTAGCAGAACTATTAGTTCTATGTTTAGCAGAACTTTGATGAAGTTGTTCAGTCTTCAAAGCTGTGGAAGTGTAGTGACTCAACTTCTCACTTTTTCTTTTGACATTTACAAAAATTGCATCACAAACATGTGCATCGTGGCTGACACTTGTATTTGTTATTCATTTAGATACCTTGTATTTGCAGAAAGTGTCAAAGTGAAAATATGACTAATATTCTGTTTTTTCGTCACTGACTGATATTGGGATTTTTGTTTATATTTTTTGGGTTGAAGAATGAAAGATAAAAACTTTGGTTAGTGTTTATTTTATTGGATGTTGCAGTAAATTTAAATTCTTGTGAAATAGAACAGTTCTGAAAAGAGTTTTAGCAAAACAGTTCTTAAAATCTTATAAAACAGTTTTAGCAAAACAGTTTTATACCGAAACTGTTTTATACATTGCGAAATTGTTTTAGTTGTTTTATCTTATCGGGTAAACCGATAATGATCGATAACCGATTAACCGATAACCAATATCTTATCGGTTTGGTTATTGGGTTATGATATTTGTAAACTGATAACCGATAGGCAAAACCGACAATATTCATAACCGAACCGAACCGACCGATGCCCACCCCTATCTTTTGTTTGAAGTAAGACCATGCCCTATGTCAAAAACCTGATCATAAATAGAGCTAATAAACCTAAGACAAGAAAATAAAATAGAAAAAAGATTGCCCATCTCGCAAATTCTTCAAGAATTTGTATAAACTAATAGAATCACGAGCTTCTCTAAATTAATAATAATAAAAAAATAAAAGTAACTTCACTAACTTTCGCCAAAATTTTACTTGTATTTATTTCAAAACTTACCTACCTTCCTAAAGTTATAAAGTCTCTTACTTAAACTGTAAAAGTTCAGAAGCTTAAACGACCAAAATGGGGAATGTTCTCGTAGCATCTTCCATCATAAACAAGCATCCCTAAAGCACAATGTCATCTTCAAATTAGCAAATTTCAATTACAGCTTTTCCGTAGCCCATACAAGCATCGGAAACTAGTAATGACCGTGTTGTGACCAGAAACACATCACACACCAAATTAGAATCATGTCTATTTATTGCAAGTCAACATGCTACTACTGATGGTAAATGAAATGATTGCATTCATATCGTAACCTTTTTCCAAGATTCATAAAAGAACAGCTAAGCCTTCCAGCACATTGCAGTCAAATCCAATTAACATAATACATCTAAGTAAGAGTGGAAAGGGTAGACAGAGGCGGATCTAGGATTTTAGATCTATGGGTTCAGCATTTAAAGTTATGGGTTCATATCTACTATTTATTGCAATTTTACTGATCTTTTATACATAAATTTATGCTCCGCGTTAAAAGTATTGGGTTCAGTTGAACCCGGTCGTTCTATACTCCATCCGCCACTGAGAGTAGAGGAGTGGCTCATTATACACCGAGTTTCGAACCATGTGCCACCAGCCTTAGGGATTTATCTGTTATCAAAAGAAAAAGATACATCTAAGTAGCCTAAAGTTATATTACATCCATACCAATTAGTTGGGTGCTATTACTATTCCGCGGTTAACATTCTTTTCTTATAACAACTTTTCCAAATACTTCTTAGATAATACTCCATCCGTCCCAATTTATGTGGCACACTTTTTTTTACTCTTTCACAAAAAGAATGACACATTTCTATATTTAGAAACATTTTAACTTAAAAATTCTCATTTTACCCTTTAATATTATGACTTACAGTAGACAAATGTTTATGGCTTGCGTTAGGCCACAAGTTTCTAAAGTATTTTTTTTTCTTTAACTCCTTGCCCAGTCAAATAATACCACATATCAAGAGTTATAGAGAAGAAAAGTGTAGAATACCTGCTAGAATTAGGAGTGAGAGGGGGGAGGTGAAACGGGGTCAGAATTGGGATTGCGGAGACTTTCAATCAAACCTCCTAGCTCCTTCCGAGCTGACTCTCTCCCGAACATGAACCCATACCTAATTAGTAACAATAATAATAAATTTATAAATTCAAACAAAACTCACTTTTCAGATTTTCTATTAATGAAATTAAACCCCTTATCTAACTGAAAAAAAGAGCATAAAAGAGCCTTATTTTTGCATTCATGTGTGTATGGGAGAAAGAGAGATACATAGAAAGGTAATTACCAGCCAGAAACGGCAGAGAATACACCTGAAATTGCAATTGTCTGAAGGAGAGTGAAGCTCTTCTTCTGCATTTTTATCGAACAGTATTAGATCAAACTTGCTTTTCTCTGTACGAGAGGTTCTGGGGTTTTAGGAACTGGGTTTAATGCAGCTTCCGAGATTCAGAAAGGTGTAAAACTAAGGCCAGAACTAAAATATTCTGTTTTATTTTGGTTAATATTCCTTTTTTTTCTTTTTCTTTCTTTTTCTGTTTTATACGTCTAATTAAAAATATAGAAATGCTCACTATTCATAATCTTTGACGATAGTATCCTTATTTTAACGATAGTATCCTTTGTTTTTTCTTTTGGGAATAATTGATGAGATTTTTGTTAATCACCGAAGATCTTTAACGATTTATTTGTTCTAATAATTTAAGGAATTATAATTGTAAGCATTACAATTTTACCGAGTCTAAATCGATAAAATAATATGGACTATATTTTAAATATGTCAGTCCAAATAAATATTATGGACTAATATAATTGGAGTAATTATGTAAATCCAATACGTATAGGTTAAATAAAGAGGTCATCTATTGGGCTATAAGTAATAAGCCCACTTTATTAGGCCCAAATCTTCCGAGAGGCCCAGTTTGGTGCCACGCGTGAAATGACATGGCACACCAAATCACACGGAAGAGCCAATAGGATCGCGCCACATGTCAAAATGACAAGGCATGCCTAGTCAAATTAAATGGCCAATGAAACTGCGCCACATGTGCAAGTGACATGTTCTGGCCAATCAAATGCGGTCATGTCACACTTCAATTTGATTGGTCGGAAAGAGTTTGTTCTTATCACAACTCCTCCCTTCCACAACTATAAACAGGGGTCTTCATAACTCAGAAAAGACACCAGAAGTTATAACAAGAAGCAAGAGAGAGCTCGTGGATCAAACGCCGCAAAATTCTCTACAAGTTTCAAGCTTCAAGCAATCAAGTTCAAGTTCAAGCAATCAAGTTCAAGTTGAAGCTCAAGAATGAAGAACAAATTAATTTCAAGCTCAAGAACGAAGACCAAATCGAGTTCAAGTCCAAGCAATCAAGCTCAGGCTCAAGAACAAGATCATCGTTCGTGGCAACAACTACATATTCAAGATCAAGCTCAAAGGCCCTTGAATTTATTTATTGTTGGAAAGAAGAATCAGAGGATTCATAGAGATTGTAACACTCAAATATTTGAAATAAAATACTATGATTGTTGTTGTAACGACCCGATCGGTCGTTTTGCTTTCTAGAATCCCGTTCCCCTAAATAAGACTTCCCGTACTTGCTTTAACTTACTTATGACTTGCGAGGATGGTTGGTTTGGGATTTGGAAGAGTTTGGGTTGAAATTGGAACACTTGGTTCCTTAAGGTTGGCTTAAAAGGCCAAGTTTGACTTCAGTCAACATTTTTAGAAAACGGGCCCGGACTCATGTTTTGACGATCCCGGAGGGTCCGTAGTAAATTATGGGACTTGGGCGTATGCCCGGAATCGAATTTCGAGGTCCCTAGCCCGAGCAATGAATTTTTGTTAAAAATTGTTAAACTGAAAATTTAAGGATTTAAAGAAATTGAATAATGTTTGATCATGTTGGTATCGGGCACGTATGTTGGTTCTGGAGCCCGATACAGGTCCAATATAATATTTAAGTCATGTCTGTGAAATTTGGTGAGAAAGGGGACTGATTTGACGTGATTCGGACGTTCGGTTGTAAAAATAGGAATTTCAAATGTTCTTAAGGATTTCATGCGTTTTGGTGTTAAATCTGTTGTTTTATATGTTATTTTGGCGATTTGACCGCACGAGCAAGTTTGTATGATGTTGTTGGACTTGTGTGAGTATTCGGAGTGGAGCCCCGAGGGCTCGGGTGAGTTTCGGACGTGGGTTGGGAGTGAAAACACCCTAGTTTTTCTGGTGTTTTGGGGCAGAGTTGCAGGTCTCGCAAATGCGAGGAAATGTTCGCAATTGCGATCCTCGCATTTGCGAGGAAAGCTTCACATTTGCGATGAAGCTTGGGCTGGGGCAGTGGTCGCATTTGCGAACCCAGCAGGGTCCGCTTTTGCGACCCTTTAATCGCATTTGCGATCATTGCAGGGGGTGCCAGGTTCGCATTTGCGAAGGTTTGGTCGCATTTGCGAACCTGATGTCGCAAATGCGACATCAGAGGCCTGGACACAGCTTTTAAAAACGGGACTTAGGCCATTTATTTCATTTCACTTCTACACTCGGGCGATTTGGGAGCTTCCAAAGAAGGGATTTTAACCTAGCATTGTGAGGTAAGTTATCTCCACTTAATGTGAGTCTAATACTTGTTTTGGGTAGATTAACACATGAAAATAAGTGAAAAATTATGGGATTAGAGTAAAATCTATGGTTTTGATAAAAACAATATTTAAACACGAAATTTGTTATGGAATGGAGTGAAAATCATATATTCTTGATCCTTCGGTTATGGCTAATAACTTTCTTCAAAAAAAATTGGGAATCCAGGCACGTGGGCCCGGGGTGAATTTGAGGAATCTTGTAATTTGGATTAGGGAATCACTCTAATGGTTGGGATATGAACTTTTAAGCCTATATTGATTAGTTTTTATGCCATTTGAATAGTTTTGGAGCGTTTGGCGCCAAATTGAGAGTTCGGGCATAAGCTTAGACCGGAAAGTAGACCGTGAAGCAAGGTAAGTCTCTTTTATAACCTTATAAGAGAGAAATCTCCCCATAGGTAAACTTAATTAATATGTGATTTGATTGTGGGGGGCTACGTACGCACGAAGTGACGGGAGCCCATACGTGGCTACTATTCATGTTATGTCCGGGTAGTTCTAGGCTTACACCATGCTTTGTGGGTACTTGTTGTATGATTACAAATTGTTGAATTGCATTGATTAAATCCTCGTTGAGGATGTTATGATTCCAAGGATTTCAAGTAAATAATTATTTTGAAAAGGTTTAAAAAAACATTTAAGTTGTATTTATACTTAACCGCGTCGCAAATATATTTCGCGAGCGGGGTGATTATTTCCACTACTCTCATAGGAGCGGGTCATTCGCCTCGGCAGGTTGGTAATTGTAAATGTATGGTTCAGGCCGTTCGACCCTCGGCAGTGCACAGTTTACTTTTATGTTAGATCGGGACGAACGTCCTCGGTGGAAAGTTTGTGATAATGGAACGGGAACCTCTTATGATCTGTATGATTTATTGTTTGAAAGACAACTTGTTTTAAAGGAAGGAAATGCTTAGATTTATTGATTGATGAGAGGATTTTTAGTATTATTTCTTATTTGAACTTGTTTCTATCTATGTACTTTGAGAATTGGAATATTGAACTTCATATTATCATGTTATTGACCCTAGTAAGTGTCAAGTCGACCCCCCGTCACTACTTTTTCGAGGTTAGACTAGATACTTACTGGGTACATATTGTTTATGTACTCATGCTACGCTTCTGTACTTAACTGTACAGGGTCTGAGGCAGGTGTATCTGGCTACCCGTCTGGTGCGCATTCTTGATTGTTGGCCCAGATTCCACGGTGAGCTGCTCCTTTCCGATGCCGTTTAGCAGCATAATGGAGTCTCTCTTTTGTTTTCTTTTGACTGTCTATTCTATTTCAGGCAGTAGGATAAATACATTCTTTCGTATATTCGACTAGATGCCCATATACTTGTGACACCAGGTCTTGGCACACACATTAGTAGACTATTCTATTGGAATGTAATCACTTAATTATGACATCATTTGGTCACTTCAGTTTCAAATTGCCTAAACTATTCATTATTATTGAATGTTTTAAATTTAATCTGAGTAAATGTTGGAAATGTTTTGGAAATATAAATGGAACCCACTTGTTGGTTAAGTTTGGCTTGCCTAACCACGGTGTTGGTTAAGTTTGGAAATTGGGTCATGACAACATGGTATCAAAGCACTAGGTTCACGTAGGTCTCACAAGTCATGGGCAAACCTAATAGAGTCTTGCGGATTGGTACGGAGACATCTGTATCTATCTTCGAGAGGCTACAAGGTGTTAAGAAAACTACTCTTTATTCATCTCCTATCGTGCAGTTGATGGTATACTAAATTCCCTTTTCCTATTCTCTCACAGATGGTGAGGACGCGCACGGCAGATGTTCCAGACCCGGGAGGAGCTGCTCCCCCGTTGCTAGACGCCGAGGCAGAGGCCGGGGGAGGGCACCGGCCCGAGGTAGGGGACGAGGGCATCCCAGAGCTTTCCTAGTTGCACCACCGGTGGATCCTGTCATAGAGTAGCAGGGTGAGGTGCCCGCAGTTGAGCCTACCCCGCCTGACTTCATGACTGCACCGGGTTTCCAGGAGGTCATGGGCCGTATGTTGCGGTTCATGGACACCATGACTCAGGCTGGTTTATTTCCAGCGGACCCAGCCACATCTCAGGCGGGAGGGGGAGCACAGACCCCTACCGCCCAGGTACCTGGTCATACAGCGGTAGTGTATCAGACTCCGGGTGCACTACCAGCGGATGGGGCTCAGCTAGTTGCTGCAGTGGTACCCGAGCCCAGACCGGCTACGGACGGCGATCCGCAGAAGTTACTGGACAGGTGGACTAGGCTACACCCTCCCATCTTCGGAGGTGAGCGTCATGAGGATGCTCAGGATTTCATTGATAGGTACAGAGACAGACTGCACAACATGAGGATATTGGAGTCTCATGGGGTTGACTTTACTACATTCCAGTTGGAGGGCAGGGCCTGTAGATAATGGCAGTCTTATGTTCTTGGCAGGCCAGCGGGGTCTCCTCCCATTACTTGGGGTCAGTTCACACAGCTTTTCCTGGACAGGTATATCCCACCCTTTCAAAGGGAAGAGTTACGGTGCCAGTTCGAGCAGCTCGATCAGGGTCAGATGTCTATGACCGACTATGAGGTGAGATTCTCTGAGTTGTCTTGCCATGCACTCATGATACTCCCTACAAATGTAGAGAGAGTGCGGAGATTTGTTGCGGGGTTACACCCCGATATTCGAGCTAGCATGGCCTGAGAGGTTGAGATGGGGACTGGGTATCAACTAGTGGTGGAGATTGCTCGGATGATTGAGGGTTACCGACAGAGGGGTAGAGAGCAGCTGCAGCAGGATAAGAGGACCCGATTCTCTGGGGAGTTTAGAGGTGCCCCAGCTAGGGACAGAGGTCAC